CCGGACGTGTGATCGAAAAGGGATACCCCATCCCTAGAATCACACTGAAGAAAGAGCTGTAGGTCATCAACCCACACGTCAAAGTCAACTGCACGTCCCTCAGCATCAAAGGTGAGAACGGTAGGACTAGCCATAGCAGCAGTAGGAGCAGTAGCAAGAGTAGCAGCAGTAGCAGCAATAGCAGCAGTAGCAGCAGTAGTAGCAGAGGCAGTAGGGCAGTGCAAGGCAGTGCGGCTCGGTAGGGCAGTGCGGCTCGGCTGGGCGGCGCGGCTCGGCTGGGCGGCGCGGCTCGGCTGAGCGGTGCGGCTCAGCTGGGCGGCGCGGCTCGGCTGGGCGGCGCGGCTCAGCTGGGCGGCGCGGCTCGGATTACCAGAGACGGGTGCAGGGGCGGGCCGTGACAGCAGGGACCGCGCCAGAAGGGGCCGCGCCAGCAGGGGTGGCGACGGCAGGGGGGGGGGCGCGACTGCAGGGGCCGCGCGAGTAGGGGGGCGCGCCTGCAGGGGCCGCGCCAGCAGGGGCCGGCAGGGGCGCGTCAGCTGGTATACGTCAGCAGGGGCCGGCAGGGGCGCGCCAGTAGGGGCCGGCAGGGGCGCGCCAGCAAGGGCGCGTCAGCAGGGGCCGGCAGGGGCGCGTCAGCAGTGGCACGTCAGCAGGGGCCGGCAGGGGCGCGCCAGCAGGGGCGCGTCAGCAGGGGCCGGCAGGGGCGCGTCAGCAGGGGCACGTCAGCAGGGGCCGGCAGGGGCGCGCCAGCAGGGGCCGGCAGGGGCGCGTCAGCAGGGGCCGGCAGGGGCGCGTCAGCAGGGGCCGGCAGGGGCGCGCCAGCAGGGGCCGCCAGGGGCGCGCCAGTTGTTGGGGGCCGCGACGGGCTAGAGGCCGCGACGGGCTAGGGGCCGCGACGGGCTGGGGGCCGCGACTGGCTAGGGGCCGCGACAGGGAAGGCGCGATGCGCGCTTCGGGCAGGGCAGGAAAAAATATATATATATATATATATAGTGGTGGGCCCTTAAAAACATTCCCACTAGGGAACCTGCTCAGAATACCATGTTAGAATGTGAGCGAATGAAAATGAACTAGAAAGCAGGTGGGTACATATAGGAAACCTAAAAGTGTTGTACCTTGTAAGAACTACCCCACTACAGCCTAAACAGACTATAGAATATAAGTTTGACAGTGTAAGGCGACATTCAAACGACAATGTCTTTGGCATGAAAGCTCACCTTTGCAGCATAGCAGATGCTGCACGGCATCCGTGATCCATGCGAGAGTGTGCAACTGATCTTGCCGCTCTCGGGGTAGTCGCACACCCACGCGTATAGCAGGGGCCGCACGGTTTGCCAATCACCGAAAGGGTCCCTAAGACAGAACCCGCTGCAAGGAACAGGTAGAGTGGCATCAGGAATTGGGAGGACATGATTTGTGCATGTACGAAGAGGGGAAAAGGGAACTGCTACATATCGTGACGCCCTGCATACTATGCAGGTGATTGGGTGACGACATAGCAAGATGCAACAGCGGGTACGGACCTTTCCATGCCATCGAGAAGCGGCTGCAGCACAGTGGTGACGCATCGCTGGAAGAGCATCACCTTCTCCACGGCAGACATTGCAGAAGGGGGGATAGGAAGGAGGGTAAGCAGCGTTTGGCCGGCTTTCCCCCATCGTTTGGCCTGGGAGATGTTGGCAAGCGTCATCATGAGCGGCCACGCCTTCTTCCGGCCGTTGTTGCTCATGTGCGTCACATCCAAATATAGGATGATTCCCCCCACGACTTGGGTCCATCCAAAGTGTTCCTGCAATGCACGACAAGGCGGCAACGGACACACGGTCAAACACCACCAAGGTAACTGGTCGCTAGGTGGGTTAAACGACCTTCATAGCATGTTCATCGAACATGACACACTCATCATGCACCAGACACATCAGCACAGCAACGGAGGCATGAGCACGGATCCGGTTTTGGGTGGCAACGGGGTATATCCATACCTGAGCTTCATTCCACCACGTTCCTGTTTCCGGCGTGGTATAGTGACGGTCACCTGTGTCAGGGTCCTCATCGACCCGCGCCTTGAGCTTGAAGCCGGGCGCGTTGTTGGTATGCCCAAATAGTTTAGCAAATGCCTGGTTTACGGTGGCGAAGGCAGTAGAGAAGAGAGGCATGGTTAGATGCGTGGATTGGTGGGTCCGATCTCATACAAGGAGAACGAATATAACTTCATACAAGCACCACAAGGTTGCCACATCAGCATTTCACTGCCAAGGATTGAGTCGGCTTACCTGAGCTGAGTTTTGGAATAGCAGGCGCTGAGGCGGATGACCGTCAATCTCGAATGTCGCCACCGACCATCCGCGATTGAGCCCTGCCAAGCGCTCCATCTCGAACCGCTCCAGATCCTTGCAGTTCCGGAGCTCCGAGGTCACAAGAGGCGCAAGGCCGGGCTCTACCACGAGTTGAAGCAAGCCAGTGATGTCAATCTCTGCCATTCCCATTCCGCCATTCACACGCCAAACGAAACGAAGCAGCTTCAACGCGAGCGGATTGAGGGGCGTGGCATCGCTCTGTCCGGAGATGGTTGTAGGCGGCGAGGCTTGACTCCCTTCAGGCTGGCTCTCAGGATGCTCACTCGTGTCAGCTGCAGGTGTTCCTGGTTGCGGTTGATGTTCATCTTCCAGAGCCCCCTCGTTAACGTCCGAGGGTGTTTCGTCCTCGTCAGCTTCAGGCACGCGAGGAGCACCGCTCACACTGACGGTGTTGGATGCGTTAGACGCGGTAGGTGAAGCGGGAGCAGCGGGAGCGTCCGAGAGAATGTCGTGACAAGGGGTCCGCCGTGACTTATGACCGCCATAAACTTGGGCGTTGGGGAACCATCTGTTGCAGAACTCGCAGACAACGCCTGGCAAAGAGCCCATGTGTTACGGATCCGTCTTAGAGTGGAGTAATGGCCTATGAAGCAACTAGCCTGTTTGACGTTTGTGAACGCATATACACCGTCAACGGAGGCTGTGACTGCAACACGGTCATTGCCAAAGCGCGAACTCTCCATGGCGGCTTGTATCTCTGCACGACTGGCACTTGAGCGTGGCGCGATGGTTAGGGACTGGCTAACGATGGTCGAGCAGCGCGGCCGTGAAAAGGCACGATACAGACCGCCAACAGCACGGCATTTCCCTTTCCTACAAGGCGTGTCGCCCCCTCTTAGAGCGACCACGACGTGAGCAGGGCCATGGAGTCTAGCACGCTTGGTCGTGAGGGTGCGTCGCGAGCACGGTGAGAAGTACGTGCCTCTTGATTCAAAACTTGGGTTTTTGAATCGTGCGTGAGAGTCGAGGGGGATGAGGAAGAGAGGGAAGAGATACCCGATTAATCCAAACCAGGTAATGACAAGGTACAGTTACATTCTACATAGAAACCCGATTCAATTATAATTAGTATTATACAAACATACTTATGGGCCTGCACAAAAACAACCCCTAATTGACAACGATAGTGTTTGTAAACCCTCCTAGTTCTCTTGTGTGGTATGGAAACATACGGGTATTACCCATGAACTCAGTGTGTTTCCGTAAGATTGTTGCATGTACCGGATATGTATATCGTCACTTCACAAGAGGTTTTGGGGACCTCAAAGCACCGTGCTGAATTAACATGCACGAATGGAGCGCAATCTAATACAATAATACAACGGTTTCGTCGTCGGATGCAATACCACAACGGTATCACCATGACATGCAACACATGGGAGTGAACGATGCAGCGTCGCCCTGTCTGAACATGGCTGTCGATAACGCATCACCGCTTGTGCGTTAGCCCTGTGCTTTATACCACTCTCTTAATGCACCTTTTATAAGGTCCATGCAAGAATTGAGCCCAATCCAACACCATACCACAACGGTTTCACCATGTCGCGCAAAACATGGGCCTGGACGATGTAGCGTCGCCCTGTCTAAACATGGCTGTCGATAACGCATCACCGCTTGTGCGTTAGCCCTGTGCTTCATACCACTCCCTTAATGCACCTTTTATAAGGTCCATGCAAGAATTGAGCCCAATCCAACACCATACCACAACGGTTTCACCATGTCGCGCAAAACATAGGCCTGGACGATGCACCGTCGCCCTGTCTGAACATGGCTGTCGATAACACATCACCGCTTGTGCGTTAGCCCTGTCCTTCATACCACTCCCTTAATGCACCTTTTATAAGGTTCATGCAAGAATTGAGCCCAATCCAACACCATACAACAACGGTTTCACCATGTCGGCACTATTGAAAAACGTGTTAGATTTCGTACAACGACGCGTAACCATTGTGGCATAGCCTAATAGTGCTCAGTTAAATTGTATAAAGTAATAATTCTGGACACTCTTTGTGTGTGTGACATGATACAAACCCACTACCTTACCACAACCCCAGACTATTACATTAGCAACCAATTTTTTTTTTATTGTATTTGTTGTAGTTTTAAATGTTATTTAGCTCGTATGTGCAACATTGTTCGTTCGCGACATCACTGTACTTTGCAGGGTTTAGGTTGCTTTCGCTCAATTGGTTCAAAAACAGTTCCAGCATGACAATTCATTTGTGCGTTGGCGACACTGATTGGCCGACGCATCTCAAACGACCCCTCCCGCAACACAAGCACCCGCCAAGCGGTACTTCCGCCATTGAGCGGCTGTGATCGAGCGGTGGGTGAGTTTATGATCGGGTGGCTACACGTACAACGTCCGATCTAGCCTGATCTGATTACAGTAATCTCTCTAGTCGCGCAAGCCACTCCAACCACCCTCGTGCCCCACCCACCTGCTTCCGTCACCCTCTGGCCCACAACTTTGACGCTGCTCGATGTTTGACACAGACGTTTCTAGATCGCCCGTGTTAGGTAGTACCAGTCGACTAAGTCATGGGCCGGAGCTCCAGCTGACTACTATTTCAGTATTGATTGAAGGCGGAGGTTTTAGGAGAGAGATGATAGAATTCGCAAATTCGCATTCGTAAAACAAACATGACACGTGCAACACGGCAAAAAGAAAAGGAGGAGGAACAGGCCGGACGTCGCGCGACAAGGAGGCTGTCTCAACAAACCGATAGGGAGGGTGGTGGCGGCTCTAAAGGTTCTAATGCGTCCGCCGCGCGTGGCAGAGTGGTGAAAAAATCGGCGGGAAAAAAGGCCACGTTTGGACAGGAGAAGTCCGGCAAGAAGGCGGAAGAGAAGGAGAAGACTGCTACTACTGCCACAGGGAGCGTGAGTCTTGCAGTCCCGTCGGCGGAGAGAGAGGGGTCGGCGACAGGGGGAAACCACGGCGACTCTCCCCGCGCCGAGCATGGCGCAACCCAGGAGTCCGAGGCGGAGGCATCCCAACACAGACTGACGCTGCTCCAGCCAAACGTGGTCGAAGTTTCTGCTGCCGTGGTGGATAAGGCCAAGGCGCGGGAACACAGCATCGCCGACGTAGGTGGCTCTCCTCCTTCTGGTGGACGTGGGAGGCGTAGGCAGAGGAAGAGCGATGGGGAAGAAGAGTAGGACACCGCCGTGCCCGGGGACATCAATACGCGGTCGAAGAGGCGGCAGACAAGCCGCGGTGCTGACGACGCCGGTGGTGCGGAAGTTGGGACAACGCGAGGCGCCAGGGAAGCAAGTGGCCAGGTGACGGGTCATGCATTGCGCAAGCAGGGCGGACTCGCAGCGAGGAGAACATCCGGCGGAAGAAGGGGCAAGAAAGATGAGGGGAATGCGGGGGATGAGGAGGAGGAGGCTGAGGAGGAGGAGGATGCGGAGGAAGAGGAGGATGAAGAGGATGCGGAGGAGGAGGACGTGGAGGTTGGGGAGGAAGAAAAGGATGAGAATGATGATGAGGAGGACGAAGAGGAGGAGGAGGAGGAGGACGAGGAGGGGGGCGACGAGGATGAGGAGGAGGCGGAGGAGGAGGAGGAGGAGGAGGAAGAGGAGGAGGAGGAGGAAGAGGAGGAGGAGGAGGAGGAGGAGGAGGAGGAGGAGGAGGAGGAGGAGGAGGAGGATGTGGCGGCAGTGAAAGGACGGGGCGGGCGAGGCAGACGGGGAAGTGGTACAGGGAAGATGGGGGGCCGGACTCGCCATTCCCGAAAACGCGGGGCAAATGACGCCCCGCGTGGCGAAGTAGCGGGCAAACCGAAGACGCGTGAAGTGAAGGTCGAAAGTGAAGGAGTTGGTAAGAAGCAAGGGAGCCAGGGATCAAAAGGGGATGGTGAAGGAAAGGGCGGCCGCGCCAAAGGGGTTCCAGTGGGTTCCGGCAACAAAGAACCAGCCGGTAAACGTCGCAGCGGCCGCCAAAGCACCCCGCGGAAAGGTGGCAACGAGAAGGCGCAGGCAACAGCAAAACCAAAGGGACAGCTGAAAGGTAAGCACTGTGGCCCATACACATGGCGTGGCTGCTGTACTCTCTGCTCAACCGTGCCAATTAACACATTTCTTCACATTGTTTCTCCCCTGCAGGGAAGGAGATGGTCGACGAATCTGCAAAGCAAGGTAAGGCCTCTTGTTACAAAACAGTAACCGTTTTAACCCGATTTAAATTCAAAACACTGATCGTACGCAAGCATTTGTGCCCCTGTATTGAAACTAATCGACTCTAATTTTTTGCTCCTGCTCCGTATAAATCTCAGCCCCTCGTGTTACAGGCATTGGGCCACCGGTAAGCGTGCAACGGACGCAGCTAACGAAGGGGGCCGGAAGAGCAAGTGTTACCCCGCTATCCACAGGAGCCCCAAGGTTCTACACGCCATACTCCGGCCCGTCTAAAGTCGCTGCCAGGGCACCCGGCGCACCAAGAGGAGAGGAACCCGAATCCCCTCCACCAGGCCATGTCACGCACTCCCCACTTGCCTCACCCACATACCCATTTCGGCAGCTCCACGCTTCTCCTGTCTGGGGCAGGGCCGTCTCCCCCCTCGCCGGTCCTTCGCGCGGCCAAGGGCCAAGCACTTCTGCCAATCCCTTCCCTGACCTGCCCTTTTCCTGCCAGCGTGATAGTGTGAGGGCACACAGGACTGCTGCAGAAGACGTTGATCCCCTTGGCCAGAAGGGGGATTCTTCACACCCTTTTCCCCCGCTCTTGGGTGCCCTAGGTGAAAGTGCGGAGCAAGAGCAGTTTGTTACACGGGAGGAGTTCCAGGCGCTACGGTCTGAGATGTACGCCATGTTTGCTCAGCTCGGCCTGCGTCGTGGAGCACCTGCCAGTTATGCGGGGGGGTCCGCAGTGGTGCCTATGAAAGGTATCCCGCCGCCGATGAGTGCCGTGGAGAAGGCACGAGTGCTAGTGTTGCAGGAGACAAACCCATTCCCGGTATGTGGCGGGCCAAACGGGGCGGGTTGGGGTTGACGTGGCAACCAGGGCGGGGTTGGAAATGACGTGGCGGTTTTGGAGGGTATAAGGGAGCGGCGCATGACGAGGCGAGGCGTGTTAGGTGGGTGGGGGGTGACGTGGCTTGGGGTGGGGGAGGGTGGCGTGGCGGAAGGTGAGGGTTGGGGATGACGTGGCTTGGGGTGGGGGGGGGGTGACGTGGGAAGAGGGGCGGGTTGTTGGTGGACGAGGCGGATGCAGGAGGGTGTGACGTGGAGGAAGGTGAGGGTTGGGGATGACGTGGCGGTTTGAAAGGGCACACGTGAGCGGCGCATGACGAAGCGAGGCATGTCAGGTGGGTGGGGGGTGACGTGGCTTGTGGTAGGGGGGTGTGATGTGGCAAGTGGGGCGGGTTGTTGGTGGACGTGGCCGATGCAGGAGGGTGTGACGAGGCAGAAGGTGAGGGTTGGGGATGACTTGACGGTTTGAAAGGGCACACGTGAGCGGCGCATGACGAAGCGAGGCGTGTCAGGTGGGTGGGGGGTGACGTGGCTTGTGGTAGGGGGGTGTGACGTGGCGGATGCAGGAGGGTGTGACGTGGCAGAAGGTGAGGGTTGGGGATGACGTGGCGGTTGGGATGGGTACAAGGGAGCGGCGCATGACGAGACGAGGCGTTTAAGGTGAGGGTTGGGGATGACGTGGCTTGGGGTGGGGGGGTGTGACGTGGCAAATGGGGCGGGTTGTTGGTGGACGTGGCGGATGCAGGAGGGTGTGACGTGGCAGAAGGTGAGGGTTGGGGATGACGTGGCGGTTGGGATGGGTACAAGGGAGCGGCGCATGACGAGACGAGGCGTTTAAGGTGAGGGTTGGGGATGACGTGGCGGTTTGAAAGGGCACACGTGAGCGGCGCATGACAAAGCGAGGCGTGTCAGGTGGGTGGGGGGTGACGTGGCTTGTGGTAGGGGGGTGTGATGTGGCAAGTGGGGCGGGTTGTTGGTGGACGTGGCGGATGCAGGAGGGTATGACGTGGCGGAAGGTGAGGGTTGGGGATGACGTGGCGGTTGGGATGGGTACAAGGGAGCGGCGCATGACGAGACGAGGCGTTTAAGGTGAGGGTTGGGGATGACGTGGCTTGGGGTGGGGGGGTGTGACGGGGCAAATGGGGCGGGTTGTTGGTGGACGTGGCGGATGCAGGAGGGTGTGACGTGGCGGAAGGTGAGGGTTGGGGATGATGTGGCGGTTTGAAAGGGCACACATGAGCGGCGCATGACGAAGTGAGGCGTGTGAGGTGGGTGGGGGGTGACGTGGCTTGTGGTAGGGGGGTGTGATGTGGCAAGTGGGGCAGGTTGTTGGTGGACGTGGCGGATGCAGGAGGGTGTGACGTGGCGGAAGGTGAGGGTTGGGGATGTCGTGGCGGTTTGAAAGGGTACACGTGAGCGGCGCATGACGAAGCGAGGCATGTCAGGTGGGTGGGGGGTGACGTGGCTTGTGGTAGGGGGGTGTGACGTGGCAAGTGGGGCGGGTTGTTGGTGGACATGGCGGATGGCGCAGGGTGTGACGTGGCAAGTTCACACAGTGTTGCTAGTCACCATCCCCTGGTCATGCGGCCACCCTCATAACTGCTGGTTTCTCTCTCTCATGTCGTGTTGTATACCCTACACCTCTGCGCAGAACAAAGCCTACTTAGTGTGCTCTCAGCTCATGTTTCTGAACCCGCCGGAGAAAATACAGTACTATCCTACACCGGAGGAAGTGTTCGACGCGTTCTCGGTCCACTTGTCTGCAGAAGGGCTCGAGGCAATGAAGCTGCTATGGTTGCACAATGACAAGTCAACCATGGGAGTCTTCAACCACCAGCTGTCCTCAACAAGGTCAACTATCAACTCCACCCTCAGGCCAGCAGCATACACCGGCATGGGCCTTGCCGATTACCACCATCTTGTTGAAAGCCTGCCCCCTGAGCTACACCCAACGACCTGGTTCGACGACGATCAACTCCTAGCCGAGTACAGAGATGGTATGTGCAACTGGAAAACACCATATGCCAGTTGGCAGCTACATATCACCGTGCGATGTGGCTCAACCTGACTCTCATCCCCCCACTTGATTTCTCTACAAAACCCTTTCCAACCCTTACCCTCCCTGCCAAAATGCAGAACAGTGGGCCCTCAACTGGCACTTTGACAAGGCCATCGGGACGCCCTTCAGCAACCCCTTGTTCGCTTATGCGTTCAAGCTCTCCTTCAAGGGCGGGGCGGTGTTCACAAAGTTCAAGAGCCGCATGGTGGCATCGGGCCTGTTTTCGGTAAGGATGTAGATATGTGTTTGTACCCCCATGCCTCATCCCCTTCACCCCTTGCTTGTACTTCAACTAAATCCCTGGTCAATTAAGCCTTTGGAGTTACGTAAATAGTGACGACTGAATCATTGGCTCATTTACCCGCAACCCACCCTCCTCATAAACCATCCACCCAACCCTATACCACATTGCAGATCGAATGGCCCCTTCTGCAGGATAAGCGTCGCAAGCGAATCAGTAGCCAGCCGGAACAGAACAGGCCAGACTACCAGGAGTGGTGCGAAAAGGTCAAACAGATGATCCACTTTGCTGTCGTGGAGCGAAGGATCCCCCACGATCCGGCGAGGGGTGCGTTCGTCTTTTCGAACAAGTTACTCATCGACGATGGCGACCTTGGAGTTGTTGTCCTTGCCCACCGGGCGCTTTCAAGGCCCGCCAGTGCGTAGGCTATTTGACCTGGTGCTAAGACTGATTGTAGCTAGTAGAATGCTGAATAATGGTTGTTGTAAACCGCAATAATAAATGCAATTTTAAAAATCCTCAATATCCAAAATAAACAAAAACAGAATTTAGTTTTGAATAATTTGGTCACGAATTTGCAACAGAACGGATTGCGCCCGAATGTCATCCGGAAAACCACGCATGCCAAATTGGAACTTGAACCGAGCCGAACGTTGTTGCGAGATGTGTCTCGGAGCTCCTATCAAATGACTCCAACCGTCGGTCCAAATTGAATCCGGATTTTTTTAAGCGAAGACAATCGAAATAAAAAATCGTCCAAACTTGGCATAGGGTTTTTGTGATGCTCTTTTTCACCGGTGTTGTCCTCCTCCCCATTGTTATCAGCTTCACCATGGTTATCAGCTTCATCATGGTTATTAGCTTCAACATGGTTATCAGGTTCAACATAGTTATCCTCATCCTCCAGGTCAGGTTCTCAATGTCATCCAGCTCAATGTCAGCCATTGCCTCATCTTGATTGAGGTCAATCTCAGCAGCATTGTTCACCACCTCATTAGGTGCAGTGGGCCCTTCCTCCCTTGCCATGTCATTCTCTTGGCCAGATGCCATAAGGATTAAGGAAGCTTTAGAGATCTGGGTTGATTATGTGAAAATCCTTTTACCACCTCAATGGTAAAGCAAGAAATTCGTATAAAATAATTTTCTTCTACAGAATAACTCAAGGTTACCAAAGGTAACAGATTTGTTGCCAACACTCCCAATCACCTAAGTGAAAGGGCAGGGTCTATCCAAATCTCAATAAAGAGAACTTGAATAACCCTAAAAAATCCTCCAGATCGAAGTTTATACTCCTCTACTCAACAGTAAAGAGTCTTCCACCAAAAGGTGGGCAAGAGAGATAAATCTCTCTTCTTAGCTTGAAGTTGCAGTTCTAGATCTTGTAGATCTTGAACTCTTCAAGCTTCTTGATCTTGAGTGTTCTCTTAAAGAGAAACCACAACTCCAAGATCTATAAAAACAATTTCTAGGGGCAAAATCCCCACTAGGCTTAGGATAACCCTAGCTCTGGATACCAATGTAACAACCACGGCCCTTATAACAACGGGCAACCGTGTGTTAGATATAAATCCTCCTTGACAATATATATAAAATCAAGATACAAGGCTCCCAATATTAAACTAATCCCATCAAGGGATAAACTAGCCTTGATAATACTCTTGAAGCTTGAGAGGAGAAAGAGAGCTTGAAGAAGGTTGATGAAGCTTTAGCAAGTAGGTAGGTAGCTTCTTGTAGAGCTTGTCCTTAAAGTAAACACAATTCTAGTTGTGTAGGAGAGCTTGTTAGGAGAACCAAAATGACTAAGAGAAATCCCATTTCCAAATTGGTAAGTTGGAGTTGGGAAGTGGGAATGAGCCTCCAGGCTTCAACCCCTTCCACAATACCCCTTGGGGCTCTTCCCAACCATGGCTTCCATGGTTGGGGAGCTTCTAGGCTTGGAGCCTATGTGGCATCTTTGTTTGGTTGGGAAAACCCAACTTAATTGTGTTGTATGGTTGCTAGGTTCTTTGTATGGATTGTAACAATATTTGGCACGA